CAAAGTATGGATTTATAACGTAAGCACACAAACACACACTTTATGTGGTTTGTAAATTGTGTGGACAATAATATTTCTATTTAAAAAAATAGGGAACTAGTAGCTTGTGTTGATCGGAAAATGAAAGCTCAGCGCATAGTAAGTTAGTAGCTTTGTAGTATAACTGGGGGCCTGACTATATTATCTATCTATCTAATATCTCTATTAAAATGGCAGCCAATGAAGAGAGGCTAGAATTAGAGAGATGTGGGCTCTACGCTTGGTGTTGGTGAAAATACAAGCAGCTGCATGTGCACAAGCTGAAGCCGAGACACTGACGATTGCTGTTACTGATATGTTTATGACATGGCGTCATAAACATATCAGTAAATGCAGATATTCCTCAATGACTCCTGTTTGCTGCTGCTACTGTCATAGAGTGTTTCAGTATTTCTCATTATGCTGTAACTGATACTTGTGGCCACTGTGTGATTTTACTCAGGTTTGCATAAAAGGACTTCAGACTCTGCTGACATGTCACAAATGACCTGAGACTTGATTTAAAATAAAAGAGCTGATAATTCCCTTGAGGTCTGACTGACGCAGCGATGTGCCTGCAGGTCCTCAGTCGACTCCAACCTCGGCCGGGAACACGGAGGCGAGGGAGAAGTCAGATGCGATGCCCAACATTTCAGACGTGATGCTGAGAAAACTGAAACTACATCGGGGTCTGCCAGGCTGGTGTGTAACAAGCTCATACCTTTTCACTAAAAGCTCCAACATACTCCTCCCTGCATCTGAGTTACTCTGTGATTGAATATGTACATTTCTCACCTTGCTAATTGTTCATGTCTGCTTTCATTCCAGTGCACCACCACTGTCTGAGAAGGAGGTTGAGGTGGGTATCAGATCTGTGGAGGTTGTTGAGTTATTTTCACAGATTTCTTCTCCTAGAAATCAACATCAGACCTGAGAGTTAAAAGTTCAGTATCTAATAATGCTGACCCTGTCGATTTTGTGTTAAGGTTTTTCCTCTGGTGCTTGTGTGCAGTTTAAATGTCTGTGTGTTATGATAACAGATATCATATCACACAGACATTTGATATGATAACAGATATCATATCACACAGACATTTGATATGATAACAGATGTCATATCACACAGACATTTGATATGATAACAGATATCATATCATACAGACATTTGATATGATAACAGATATCATATCACACAGACATTTGATATGATAACAGATATCATATCACACAGACATTTAAACTGTAAAAAAGTAGAAACAACTTATTTCCAAAAACATTAATTTACTACCTAAAGTGTTAAATTACACAAACAAACAAATGGGACTCTTGTCAGGTTCTGCTTCCCAAGTGTAATTTATGAAATGTAGTATTGTCATTTTCTGCCTTCAACATGTTTTACAGTAATTGACCGTGGACATGAGTCATAAAGCTAAATGTTGTAAAAATCAGTTTACTTTGAGCAGAAAGCTCCATTCAAACATTTCACACTGGAGATGTACTGTTCCACTCACCGCTGAGCATTTTCCACGTGCAGCCCTGTGTTTATAAAAACCTGTTTTGTTACCAAAGTAGTTAATTACACAGTCGTAAAAATTGGCTGCCTGGATTTGTCGTTGTTCTGTCAACAGGAAAGTATTTTTCTGTTCCTGATCAGACTGAAGAGACTCAGGAGTGATTTCCTGTGGAGCAAATGCAAACGTTAGTGACGCTGTCAGGGTTCAGACTGCGGCCCCTCTCGCTGCTCCCCCGGGGACGTGTCTGGATCAGGACAGTCAGAGGTCATATATTTCCTCTCAGCTGTGGCCCATGACGGGCTTTGATCAACACAGCAAAACACAAGGAGGTCAAATGTCACAATCACAGCCAGTTCCCCAGGCTCCTCTCAGCTGCTGCTCGATTCTCCCTCACACGTTAACAATGATAATACTGTGCATTCCAATGCATTTAGTGTATGTGTGTTTTGTGTGGTGTGGGAGACTTTTAAAATGGAATCATCTGATTTGCCTGCAGCTCCTCTGTGCTAAACGTGTTGTTTATATTGCTTTAACTTCCTCCCTGCAGAATGCATTTGTCCAGCTGTCACTGGCTTTTCGTAATGACAACTACACCTTGGAGACGCGGCTCAAACAGGCGGAGAGGGAGAGGAACCTGACTGAGGAAGACACAGAGAAAGAACTAGAGGAGTTCAAAGGAGCGCTGAAGGTCAGTCTTCCAAAACAGCTGATATCAGATCAGCTCACTAGAAAGGAAGAATCCTCTGTGGCTCATAAGATTTCCATCATCTCATGTTTTCCACAGTAAATGTTAGTATGAGAAAGAGGCTCATCCCAGGTATCTCAGGGGACAGGGATTCGCACTTTGTTTTTCTATGAGACTATTTTGTGTGTCTCTTGCAGATGACCTCACCACAGTGGCAGAACCTGGAGCAACGCGAGGCTTACCAGCGCCTGACGGAGACGGTAGCAGTGCTGCACCGCCTGGCCACACGACTCTCCAGCCGGGCAGAGATCGTCGGAGCAGTTCGACAGGTGCAGTATAACTAACATGTGCACACAAGAGACAATGCAGGACAGTTAAGGGACAGATGCGGCATTGTGCACATGCACAGCACAGCTCTGTGGTAGCCTTTAATTGTCATAAAAACTCAAAAGTTGTTTAGTTTGTCCAGTCTGGACTTATGTAAAAAAATATGGTGGCCTCCGAAGAGAGGGTCCCCTCAATGTAGTACATAAAGTATTTGAATATAAAGGACCTTTTCTGGGGTAAAGAAAACTACAACTCATTCAATTTAGATGAAATGAACTCGTGAAAACATCATGAGGATTATTCTACATTACATTTCTGCCCTTTCACCAAAATCTTACACACTGGAACTTTAAGAAAAAATGATATTTTCTCACATCATATTTGTTGGTAATAACATTTAATATAGTTAAGTTACTGTGGATAAATAACTTGGAGCCAGTGATTGAAACACAATCAATTGTATCGTCTCATGGCAGCTCTATGACACATTTCCTTTTGGCTCGTTGTTTTGGTTTGATAGCACATTTCTCGGAATGGTTGTGTCATCAACTCCTCTCAAGCCTGTTTCAATAAGATTTCAGCAAACAAGCTCCAGTGCAGATATTTTGATATTGTATATCTAAATATTATTAAAACTTAAAAAGTCAGTCAGGTATGTCAGAGCTCATGGCAGCCATGAGTTTATTGAGGTCCAGCATCAATCTACGGTTTCTCTCTAAGAGAAAAGTGTTCAAACTCTCTCTTCTTTTAAATGTAACCCTTTTTTCAGTAGTTTCCTGTTTCTGTGCTTCTACTCTGTAATGTGGTTTTGTATTGACTAACTGCGTCTCTGTACAACAGGAGAAACGGATGAACAAGGCCACTGAGGTCATGATGCAATATGTGGAGAATCTGAAGCGGACGTATGAGAAGGATCATGCCGAGTTGATGGAGTTTAAGAAGCTGGCCAACCAGAACTCAAATCGCTGTTATGGTGGAACTGTGGACACTGGAGGTAAGACCACGCTGATGACAACATTCAGATAAAACAAAGGAAAACACGGTGAATGAATCTCACTAAAACCGACATTACAGGTTTTTTCTTTCTTGTAAATGGAAAGTTTTATCTGCTTTATTTATTCAGGCAAGACTTTGATGAAGCATGAACCTTATTCAACCCGACTGCAGATTGCACTGTGCACATATTATATTTTAAACTGCATCTGGACTTGTGTCTGATGTCGTGTGGCTGAGCAGCTTCACTGTAGCTCTGCAGCATAAGAACAGTCTATATGTACCTATGTAATGCTGGATTTTGTCTTATTTTATGAAGATGATGGAGTTGCACGGTCATCAAGATCAATGTCCCTCACCCTTGGAAAGGTAATTTCTGAATTTAATGTCCGTACAGGATATGACTGCTCTCATTTCCTGCTCTTACCACCAACTCTGTTGCCTTTTCTGGTTTTTTTCGGTACTCTCCAGGCTCTGCCCAGACGCAGGGTGAGTGTGGCAGTGGTGCCGAAGTTTAACCTCCTGAACATCCCAGGTCAGACTCCAGCCACAGCTGGCCCGGGCCCCAACCTGTTAACAGGGCCAAGCCCGTCCTCAGGCCCCAACCCAGCCCTTGGCCCCAGCACGGGACCCACCACTGGTGCTGCTCTTCCTGTCCTGGTAGGTCCTCCTGTCCTGTCGGATATGATGGGAAATGACATATTATGAATTGAATAACATGACACCCACTCTCTCAGCATGACTGCTGACTTAAAGTCAGTTCATCCAAAGACATTTACTCATAACTGTTTTTCAAACATTTACCTTTTCTGCATAATGAATTAATAGTTATAGTTAATACTGGACTTTTTATTTCACTGTAATTATCCGACAGCTACAGTTACTTTACAGTTTGAATCTCAACATTCACAATTCACAGTTTTGTGTTTTTTCATGTTTATAATGGATTTGCGTTGTTTGCAATTCCACCAAAGATGCAAAACTCTGAGAGGGTTTCATTTAACAGTTTTTAAAGCAAAGATGCAAAATTATGTTTCACAGAAAAATGCAAAGATTAGAGAAAATCTAAAATAAATCCACAAATTAGTTTCACAGAACATTATTTTTCTTCTTTCCAACCCCGTTAATCAACCCATATTCTTTATGTGCACCTGATAATACTGGGATTGCAGAGAGCAAAGATAGAAAGTAAATGCAACTCTTGTAATGTAGTATTTACTTTGTGGTTTCTGTACTTTAACTTTTACAGTGGGTAAAGGATATGAATAATTCAATTGAGTACTTGTAATTGTGTGATATTGTTAGAAAAATAACAATTCTGTAAAAAAAATTATCATCTGTCCTGTAGTGTGAAGCAAATGATATGAAAGTCAGCACTCCCACAGAGGCGGTACAACCAGCAGCAGAATGGTATGTTTTGTTTTCTGGTTGATGTGTTTTGTGTATGCACACACACACACACACACACACAGACATTGCATGTACAGTATGTCCACTTGATTCCCAAGGTCACGTCACAGTCCTTGAAACAATGGGCCAAGAAAAGCCCAGAACTTCTTATCAAAAGTGTGTTCTGCTGCAGCGGGACCTTCGACCTGTTTGTGTGGCCTTCAGGATGTGCTTTGCCTTGCAGAGAAAGCACCAGCGAGGTGAAAATAACCCTGAAAGCATAAAATAATAATCAAACCCTGCTGTGGGTGATGGATATGCTATGCAGGGTCATAATCTAAACATATGTGCAAGAGTTTGACAAAGTCCAGACACCGGTTCTAATCACATCCTGGTTGCAAAGTGAGACTGAGTGAAGCTCCCAAGTGCCTGAGCCCGATGTTCTCTGAGGAGATGGAATGGTTTTAAGTGCCAGCTCCATTTATTTCTGTTTGTACTCTCCTTGTCTGTGATGGTTGTATTGTACACTACCACTCAGTCAGCACTGCAGTTTGTCTGCATTTGGTCACATGCAGGGCTGTGATGGAACCTGACTGTACACTCATCACAGTTTTATAACGCCCGATGCCGTGATGGTGTCCAAGGCTGATTGTTCTTTCCTATCTGAAACAATGCAGTGGAAAGAGTGTGCTGGAGCAGGAAAGCGAGCCGGCCAAGCCTGCGGTCAACTTAGAGGAGATCAGAGCCGAGATCAGAGCCGAGCTCAAGGCGAAGATTGAGGAGGAGTCGTACAATAAAGGGTGAGGCCTTTTGTCTCCTGCTCATTGACAACACACAAACACGCAATGTGTGATGACAAATATGGTGCAGGTGAATCTTGTGCAGTACTGTGTGTGTATCGAAGCATTTACGTTTAGGTTATAGGGACATTCATTCATCCACATGCAGTAAATATTAACATTTCAAATGCAGATACCAAGAGGGACTGAAGCAGAGTAAAGTTAACCAAGACGAGAAGCATGAGGAGGAAAACACTGTGGAGAAACTACTGGAATCAACAAATAAAGACGAGGAGAGTGGAAGAAAAATGAAGACAAACAGGTAAATGTATAGAATGTAAAAAACGAATCTAGACTGCGTAGCTCCTTGCTGGAAGTAAAAATGTCAACAGCGATAGAAATATCTGATATATCGAGTACTGTGCTCTTGATGGGTTCTTTGTCACAGGAGGATGGAGGAGGTCCTGGCTCGTTTTGGTCGCTATTGTCCCAAGATTTCCTTGAATCGGCGACTTCTCTGGATGGCGCTGACACTGTTCGTTGTGATGTGTCTGGTCATCAGTATTTTTTCATTCTTCAGTCACTACTACAACAGACGTGAGGACACGTAAAGTACCACATGAGGTAAAGATGTTCGGACTGAGTGTAGCGCCACGACCAAAGAACCCTACCACAGACTGACAGAGGCCGATGTTACTCTTTGTCTCTGTCCATTTACCATATCATCACACCCGGACTCACTTGAATCCATGACCCTGGTTCTGGAGGGTCAGAGGGAGGCGTTACGGTTAATGTTGCCTTTTCCATGGTTGATAGCATTAAGTTATTATTTTGTTTGGATTTAAAAGTCAACGTATTGTTTGCTGTGGTGAGTAAAAGATTCTTTTTGTTAAGGGACCAGTGCAGTATGAAGAAATATATGTATTTAAATAAGAAGCATACATAATGATTCTGGTTCTGGTAGTTTGGATGATGAATATGGCATTTCCAATTTAATGCCACAGCAGGAAAATGTTCTATTTATTTCACTATTATGTTAAACCTGAAGTTTTGAACTGTAGTATCCCCCTTCTGGCAGTGAGAGGAATTACAAATACACAACAAGACAATAATAAAATATTTAGGTAGAGCAAATGCAACAGCTACTTAGCTACTGCATTCGCTACACAGCATAGACTGTACTTAAATATGGACGACATGTCTCCACCGCCAAAAATGTCATTTGGAGCCAGAGTCGAAAAGCAAGATCCCGCGTGGAATCATTTGGTCCACGTTCCATCTACTTACATGGAGGAAGCATGATTTATGGCTTATACTGCAGCCAGCCACCTGGGGGCGATCAAGATGCTTTGGTTTCACTTTTGTTGGAGCAGTCGTCCATATTTCTACAGTCTATGCTACACAGCTGCTATATATAGTTTTGGAGGAGGCTACACACCAATGGTAGTTTGTGTTTGTCCTTGCCATCAACTGTTTCCTTTTTATAACCTTAGGTCCTTCTCTGAACGCAGAATTTCTTTTTTATCCGGAGCATCACTTCCTAAGTTCTACAGCACATAACCATCTCCATCTCCCTCACTGCAGTTGCTCTTCTCTTCAGCTTTGGCACATTAGCTGGTAGAAGCAAAGTTCAAAACAGACATTTTTCCAAAGATGCCATATTTCCTGTGAAATACAGAGAGAATCACCTGCACCCGATAGACTTCATAACAAATAATTAACAAGGGCTTGAATGTGACGAACATCTTTTTATATGTGAAAGCTCCCCACCTCAGCTTTAAAGCGTAATCTGTTATGTCCATTAGATAATAAAGAGAAAATCTGAATCCTTATTTAAAGATAGAAGAATTAATTAACTGTTTTGATCTGTTTTTTTAAGTTCTATAATGTGTATTTAAAGACTTAAATTTAAAACATAAGCACATTCCAGAGTAGTTCCGTAAGTGCAATAATTTGCAGTTGACGGTTCTTGTTTGTGTCCTTTTGGATTTGGCACTGAGAGATTTTCTTCTTGTGTGAGAGCACTGTGTCGACGGCATGAGACTTGTTTTTTATCTTCTTTGCACATGTGTTTTCGCCTGTGTTGTTTGTGCTTTGTGAATGTTTCACTCTTCCACTTCACCTTTGAATAAAGGTGCATGAAAGGAGAGTACTGCTGTTATTCCTTTTCTAACATGACATTTGCAGCTTTTTTGTTCAGAGTCTAAGGTCAAATTTAGCTGGAGCCAGCAGCTAGTTGTCTTAACTTAATAAAGCTTACGTCAAATATTTAACATTCACTCCAGATCACAGGGTTTTCACTTAGAGACTGTCAATAAATGTTTAAACGCTTCCATGTTCTGTTGCCCGTTGACTCCAATCCATCATAGACAAATATATATCATTAGCACTAAAGTCCAATAGTGTGTCCTGTTTATCTAGAGTAGTAATAACGTTCAGCAGATGATTGGAGCTAGTTGGCCACATGACATGGAAGTGATTGAAATAAATTGTTTTAAAAAAAATGAATATTCATTTAGAAGAGAGGATATGCTAAAATCCCTTCAAATAAAAACAGGTGTGTGCCACTTGTTGAGGGTGGCAATAATATCTGCTATGATTTGAAGTCAATGGGTCACATGACATGGAAACTATAAACACCATGTAACAACTAATAAAATCTACCTAGCAGCATTTTTAAAACTCGCTCATGAACCTGTCTTGTCAGTTCAAACAAACAAAAACCAAACCAGTGTGAAGTTCCAACGGAAACTCCAGGGTTTCTTTTGCAGAGGATGTGGTATCAATGTCCTCGTATAACTTTTGACAAGAAAACTAATTAACACATTTTCCAAAAGGTCAAAGTATTGGTATGAATGATCTAATTCAACTTTTTGTTTTGTTTTCATTGTAATAACAGCTTTATTCCATTTAGATGCTTCAGTTTCAGTTTCATGGTCCTGGCACAACACTGCCATGGTTTTCTGGAACAAAGCAGAGCCAAAAACACATCAACGTGCGTATATTCACTTCCCCAAACCATCACTTCCTTCGAATTGCATCATATTCCCACTGGAGTATCTTAATCAACTGAGGAAACCATTGAGTTTGCTGTAATTTAACAATATAAGGTCCTGATGTGACCCTTTAGATGCACAAATCCCCCCCTTGAGAGAAGTTGTCTGTCCTTTCCCACTGCTCCAGATTGTCATTTACTGTGCCCGCACATCTCATTGACACCTCACATCTGACAAAAACACGGCTGCACATTCGTCAGCGCGCTTGGCGTCATTTCCTACCGTCAGGGCTGGTGAAGAGATGTTTTTGTGGAAGTGGGAATGTCGTCATGTGCCAAAAGCTCATCAGAGGACACCAGAGATCATAAGTGCGTTCATGACTGAGTGAGGCCCCGAGGGAGGAAGCCATTTGGACAGGGCGCCCACAGTCAGATGTCAGTAACAGTGCAAATCACTTGCTTTTTGAGTGCGGACTTTTATCACGTGTTGAAAATCCTTGTTTCTTTAAGTGTTTCACTAGATTTGTATTTGCTCTGCTCTGAGAATTACACTTACATCCAACAAATGGAATGGATTTCTATAACATTTAAACCAAAGCACTTGTTTAAGTCAAAAAACTTTATTGACTCAAATTCGATTCATTTTACAGCAAGAAAAGATTCATTCCATTAATATATATAATAATAATCAAAGGTTAACATAATATAATGTGAGGTACATGGAAGAGAAAAAACTTTTCCCACTGCTCACATCGTTCTTTTTTTTTCTATCATTGCCAGAAGTGAAGGTCACACTAGTTCATCAAAGCACCAATATTGAAAGTTCCTCTGATAACCTTCCTTCCACATAAATTTCTCTCAGCTTCGTGTCCTGCTGACATATTAGATGTGTCTCTTTTTCTCCAGGGGCCTGCTCTTAGGACATATGATGGCTCATAATCTGACTTGTGTGCGGCACTTCCCTCTTCCTTTTCCTTTACTTTCTGGCAATGAGCGTCCAGAGACTCCAGTGAACAGAATCAACTCTATTTAACCCTGTCATTTGGCTCAGAGACACATTAACTGTGCAGCACTTGTCATCCGTCTCCACTCGCAGCAGTCATGAATATGATCTGGCTTTTCATCACGTCTGTGTTGTCCATTACTTCAGTCATCTCTGGTCAAAAAACTGACACCAGCAACATCAAAGGTGAGTCATTTCCAACTGATTTAATATTTAACACTTTACTTTTGTATCATATTACAGTTAAACCTGAATGTAAAAATGTTTTATTTGGTGTTTTGCTACAGTGTTTCCAGCAATGAATCAAACCATTGCTGGAGTTTTCCAGGTCAGCTCCTTAAATCACCTCAACCAGCCTCACTATGCCTTCAATGCCTCTGAAGCTCGGAGACTCTGTCTGTCCCTTGGAGTAGACATCGCCTCAAAAGCACAAGTGAACAAGGCGCTCACCAGAGGATTAGAAACATGCAGGTAAGACCAGAGAAGAAATACACAGGATCAGCTCAGTCGTCTCAGATGATGATAAGCCTATTGTCATGTGTTTTTTATTTTATTTTATTTTCTCTAGGTTTGGATGGATTGATGAACATTTTGCAGTCATTCCCCGCATCAAGCCACTTTCCACCTGTGGACAAAGCCGGACAGGTTTGGTGATATGGCGAGCCTCTGTGACAAAACATTTTGATGTCTTCTGCTTCAATGAATCAGGTATTAACTTGTTTATCTGCAATTTTTGCTTTAAACCTTAAATTACAACAGGTCAATGAAGATTCAATGTGTAGTATTTTCACAGTCCTGGCTTTTTGTTCTTGAGACCAATAAAGCTGATATATGTCAGGTTTTCATTCAGATTGTGGTGAAGGGAAAGTCCTGACATAGGCGTTGTAAGCAATTTATTGCATTTACATCTGGACTCAATTAAGATTCTCTGGATTTTTTAAGTATTTTACGTAATTTGAGATAAAAAACACTATTTTGCCCAAAAATCTGTGAAAAGATAATGACAGTAAACTACGATCGAATTTTGAGGGAACATGAAGAGTTTGTTTAAACCTCCACAGTCATGATGTGTTTTTTTAACAGGAATTTCAAATGAAAATATAAATTAAGTACCATTACAACCATTCAGAAATACAGTTTGAATATTTCCTACACTGTGTCAATACAGCCGTATGAGGATATCAAAATCAGTGCATAGCTGCAAGTGGAAGGCAGATGTTTCCCCTCAGTGTTGAAACAAACAAAACAATGAATTCTGCAAACCTACATTCATTAAATGACACGTCCTTCATAGAAAATAATCAAATCTGTCATGGTCTTCATGCACAGATGCAGAAACACAGTTGCAGGATGCAACAACTACCAGCCCTCTGAGCAGCAGCGATGACTCAACACACTCCACCCAGACGACACGGTCTACGTCTTCCTCCTCCTCCCCTCACTCCTCTTCCTCCTCAGCTCCTCAAACCAGAGACACTGAGGCAGAACCAGCCCGATATGGCAGCAGTGCACAGCGCTCTGCAGGAGGTACGAGTCTTCACAACAGAATTAATACTGTGGAGGAGCTGTTTTTTTGTTTCTTACAGTAAAGTAAATACAAGTAAAAACCTTTTTTGATGTTGTTTTTAGATTTTTATGTTCTGTTCATGTTTTTATTGTTCCAGGAAAGGTTTTACTCATCACCTCAATCTGCGGCCTTCTTCTTACTGCAATAATCATCATTGTCTATTTGAAGTCGTAAGTGGTTTTCCATATAAAAATACTTTGTAAGACTATAACTTAGGTCTTTTAATTTTTAAATAATATTTTGGACACAATATCTGGAGATATATATATCCAGATATTGTGTCCAAAATATTATTTAAATATATATATATACCTAAATTTGATCAAGCTATGCAGGATATCTGCACTGAATGCTGAATGATACTGATCCTTATATCATATCTGTTTTCCTTTGGTTATGACTATATATATATCACTACATGGTATGTTTTTCCTCTCTTTGAACAGGAGAAGGTTTTGGTCTCAGAGCTCTGACATGAAGCAGAAGCAGGAGTACATCGAGACAGAGGACTGCACGTGTGTGAAGAGTGTGGAGCAAACCGAGGAAGACGCTCAGGACGAGGAGAAGATACAAGTGGAAGACGAGGACAAAGAGACAGATTTGTCTGATAGTGATGTAACAGAAGGACCGTAACGTGCATTTTATTTTTGCCCATGTTGCACAGGATGTGTTTATTGTTTGCAATCGTCTGATATCATGAACTGGAGCTGTTTAGCCACTCGATGGCGATGTTTTTCCTCCAATCATTTTAAAGAATGATGACTTTATTGTTATTACAACGTGTTTGCTGCTGTAGACGGTCAGGATACATGTAAAGAAAGAAACTTTTGTAAGCACGAGGTATTCTTCATCCGTCATCTATTTAAGGCAGAGACGAAGGAAGTGTGCCAGACATCATCCATCTCTCTTATCAGACCTGTCTAAACTAACAGTGTGGAAAGCTCCTTACAAGTGTTCTTATGTCCAGTGTGCAGTGTAATTATACCTGAAAATGTTTCTAACAGTTTCTGTCACATACCCCTTTCATGAAATGGAGTGTAAAGTGCAACTGTATATACTTAGTGGGTTTTGTGTAATGAAAAGTATGTGAAACTATAGTACACACTCTCCAACCAAAGTGCTATTAGTCACCCAAGGCCAACATGGGACCAGCTAAACATTGTACTTTAACTGACAGGATATGTTTTTATTATTATTATTATTTAACCATCACAGTCACTAAATGGCACTTTTAAAAAATAAAGCTTAATGGTGATAAGTTCAAGCTCAGCATGCGTAGACTCTGTCTAATGTGATGTCTGTTTTAGTCACTTTTGGAATTTATGAGTTCAGACTTCACTGCGTCCACTATGAAGCTAAGCTCATTACACAGTGTCTCGTGTCTGTAGGCCATGCGGATCTGTGCCACATTGGTCCGACGGATATCGTTCCCTTCGGGTCCGTCTTTCAGGTAGCTCACCCCCAAGAAGTGCTTCTTCTCCTGTGAATAAACGAGATGACATTGCTGAGAGACCAATGGGTCGTATGTTGTCGAAATGTGATGGAGATGTGGAGTGGAAGAGTCTCTGTACCTGGTGAGACAGTCCACTCTGCAGAACACTGTTCCTGGCTATTTCACAAACATCACAGGTGCTGAGCTTCCAGAGCTGAGCTGCGATGGCGTACTCCTCCATCAGTGGCTCCTTGAGTCAGGGAACACAAACCACACATAAGAATTATCCACAAAGCTTTAGCATGATATCACGTAATGATTGTGAAATACTGAACGGCAGTCTGTCTTAACACTGTGTTTTTTGTATGTTTGTGTGTGTGTACCTTGGTGTAGTGGAACTGCATGGGATCGTCCGTGGACAGGGACACACACAGGCCTTTGTGCAGGAACTCTCTCAGAGGGTTTTTGGAGTATTCCAGGAACAGACTGTTGTTGCTGAGAGGAGACATTGCAATTGGCACCTGGGCCAGGTAGTACAGGTACTGCAACACAGGACTCTGGAGAAACATACATGGACATATAATTGTATGTCTATACACATTGTAAAATACGGTAAAATATTGTCCAGTTTGGATTATAGATTAGTATCAGTTTATCACTGTCACAAGTGTTTTTTTCTTAAGGCAAACCTCCGCTGTCTTTGGAATATAATGTCCATCTCATTAACCATGATTACAGACAATTTGGATAAACAAGATAAAATTACTCTCAAACCAACAAAGATTTCAAAACAGACAGAAACAACAGCATTTGATTTCAGTGTTGATTATGTAGCTTTTCTCTCTTTGGTGTTGTCACATTTTGTAACTACTATTTTGGTCAATGGCAAAAATATAACTGGCAAAGAGGATGGTTAAAAAATCAAGTAAAATTACTAACATTATAAAAGACAGAATAAATAGGTAAAATGGAAAGATAATCAAGAATATAATAATAATACAAAGAATACGAATAGCTGGATGAGCCAATATAACAGCAGTAGGTTTAAAAATAACGCTCTTGACACATGTCGAGCACCTTCTTCAAGTTGAGTCCGTGTGAGATGTTGTCAGAAGTGAGAAAGGCAGAGACCAGATGAGTGATGGATCCAGCTTCTCCACAGTGTGGGCGGAACTGGAAGGTGCTCAGTCCACGTTCCCTGACACACAAACACATAATACACAGTCAACACACGAGAAATCACAAGATTGTGTTGTTCTGTTCATCCTTGTGTTTATAGATATCAGCTTTATATTGAGATGCTCCAGTTACTCTCTATACTTGTAATCCTCTTGCTGTCCAATGATTGATCACTTCCTCTCTGAGAGCTCTGTGAGTAAAGTGTCCCCTCACTGGTGCTGGACTCCCCAGCTCAGCTCCTACAGACTGTGAAGTCATCTGTCCTGTACTGAGGTGTGTGTAGCAAGAGGAGGATGAGGTGGATGAGGTGGATGAGCTCTTACTTCCTGAGGTTGTTGAGGACCATGATGTTTGCATACATGTGGAACAGGTAGTAGCTGTAGGGGGGGTTGTCATCTGCAGTCCACTGCTCAGGCTTTGGGCTCCTGAAGGAGAACATGTGATCGCTGTGTTTGGACTCGTCATCGACGCTGTCAAAGCCTGACACCTACACACACACACACACACACACACACACACACACACACACACACACACACAATGATGCAGTTGAAGTCTGGTGAATGTCAAGGAAAAAATAAAACCATGTAATTTCTTACAGTCAAATACAGTCAAAAAGTGTAAGACATATTTTTCTTTTACTGCACCTATCCCGCAGGAACCCATTAGGGGGCGATCAAGACGCTTTGGCTTCACACTAGGGGAGCTGTCATGTTGTTCATCTTTATATACAATCAAGGATTCAACCCTAAATGAGGACATCTTACGTATTTGAGGAAAACGTGCAGTTCTCTGTGATCCTGTGGATTAACAGTGGCCTCAAACAGAGGAAGGAAAATGTTCTCCAGCATCTTGGCAAAATGAGGTACCAGCTTCTTTGACTTGAAAATGTCACTGAAAAAAACAATTTCACAAATATGAAATTTCAAAATGTCATATTTTCATTAGTTATTTTAAATGAGACTTTTGATTATCAGCGACACTCACTATATTCTGGGTACTTGAATGATCCACCTCATGTTTGGAGAGTGAACTTTGTGATGGATGAACCACTTGGACAGATTGTCCCACTCCTCTGGAGAGCGTCCGTAGATGGACACACGAGGCTCTGCATGCTGATACTTACTCTCCTCAAGGTCATGGGCCACTTCCTATTAAAAGAGAGAAGAAGAGTGTACTCAACTGTCCCTTGATCCACTCTGACTTAAACTGTAGGATAACATGACTTGATACCTTTATGATGCGAGCAAAATACTCTCCAGTAATGTGGTTGTCTGTTTTCAGGAAGATTTCTCGTAGTTCACTCGCTCCAACTGGGTTATACTTGGAATTGAACTTATCAAACCGGTGGAAGGTTTGTCTCCCCTGGGAACAGAATGCATAAATTACAAATCATAATTCAAAGCCTAATTATAAACCCTGGATGGTCAGGTATGGAAAAGTACTTCTTCTGGTATTTAAAGAAAAGGCATAGTGGAGGAATCAACCTCAACAGCGTGGTTCTAGAGGTAAAAGTCCCATTCATTTTCTGGATAGAGATTTATCAACGATCCAAGGCAGACTTCACTCAGGCTACGAGATTGTGAGACAACATTCACTGCTGTGATTGGTGGAGCTTGCCGTTACCATGGAAATGTTAACGACAATCGTGAAAATCACATCAGCTAGAATCGGATCAGTGTAAAATTTAATTTACCACAGAGCAACCAGTTTATAGAGGTTTAGAGAAAAGTGTCTAAAGGGGTTGAAATCACTGCAAGGTTAAATTGAAGAACCGCTGGAAGTCATTTGAAAGGGATCATTTGCATATGGGATGTGTAGTTCCTTCACTCTTAAAATAATTATGTACAATCCTTTGCCTTCTTTCCGTTTTCCAATATTTTTTTTGCTCTGATTCAAATAGTTTTGATTCGTCTTGCAGCAGGTCGATCTGAATAGGAAATTTACTTTCAGAACCAGAGGTTTTCTAAAAGTGGCCACTCATTGCTGCGCACTAATAAAAATTGGAGAGATTCTTTATATAAGAAATTCCTATAAATCATCATGGTCACATTCTGACAAAAATAGTTTCCTCATTTCACCACAATCAATAATCAACACAGCAAAGTTTTTTATCAAAACATAATTTACACGTTTATGCATCAATACAAAAACGATTCTTTGCTTCTTTTCTTACCGCATGTACATCCAGAGAGTCCACAGTCAGGTCATATGGGTCTTTATTGATGCTGTGGAAAACCTCCTGCAGAGTCATCTTCTGTCCGGCCTTCTCCATCACCACACAGTCCGCATCAGTCTTATATGTTTTCTGAATGAAAGTCAGCAGGTGTTTCTGAGACATACAGGCAGCTGCATGAATGTGTGTGTCCACCTGAGAAAAACATCATATGTTCAGAATTTTCACAGAGGTAATCTTTAGGAAACTATATTGGATTTCAAACTTTTCATAATATCTGTGGTTGGACTCACCTTCCTGACATTGTAAAAATCTCTGTGAGGGACACTTTTCAGTTCCTTTAGCTCGGCCATCTCGTTGAGCATCTCGTGGAGGTAGAACTTCGAACTCAAGAAATTTAGTCGTCTGTGACAGTAAGTCTTCCTGTAAAAGTAAAGTGGAGCGTGGTTTACATTATATGCAACTCCAACCTGTGTGATTAAGTGTAACATAGGCAGAAACAACCAGTTTTGCAAAAAGGGCTGTTTTATTCCACCAGCATAACTGTAGCGTCAACTTACGTGGGTCCATCTGCAATCATGGCCAACACATGGCTGAGGTCGATGGCGAACGTTTCTAAGTCTGGATAAGGAAGGTCATGGGGCTGGTTTTGTCTCAGGGCCTCAGCGTTGTCATACACATTCACTATTCCATCCTTCATCTTCAGTTCATAGTTGAGGTTCTCTGGGATGTTGTCCATGCTGTAGGGATCTTCTCCCCCTAATGGACACGGGCACATATCTGGGAGACATAACAATGTTATGTTACCATCATATAAACCACTATATGAAATCAGTAATTGTTGCTTCAAACCATAGACTGCATATAAAGACGGAGGACACTTCTACATTTGAAGTCTATGTAG